ATAATTATTAAATATAATAGAAACATGTGTAATAAAAATATATTTATTCATGTCTGTTATTAGAAAAAATATAATAATTAAAGTAATGGTTAAGAATGAAATAAAATATATTATAAAAAAAAAATTACATTTATACATACCAGTAATTAAAAAATATAATAATTAAGAATAATTAAAAACGATAATAAAAACCTATTCAATTTATTTATGTCTGAAATTGTATTTATTCATGGCTGTAATTTTAAAATATATAATTATTAATAATAATAGTTAAAAAATAATTAAAAAATGTGTAATAATAAATTATATTTATTCATGTCTGTTATTAGAAACAATATAATAATTAAAGTAATGGTTAATAATTAAATAAAATATATAATAAAATAACAATTAAATGTATTCATTCCAGTAATTTAAAAATAATGGTTAAAAATAATTAAATACAATATATAATAAAAACCTATTAAATTTATTTATGTTTGAAATTGTATTTATTCATGGCTGTAATTAAAAAATATATAATTATTAATAATAATAGTTAAAAATAATTGAAAAATGTGTAATACAAAATTATATTTATTCATGTCTGTTATTAGAAAAAACATAATAATTAAAGTAATGGTTAAAAATTAAATAAAATATATAATAAAAACAATTAAAAATGTAGTCATACCTGTAATTAATAAATATAATAATTAAACAGATATAATAAAAAACAATTACATTTATTTATGTCTGAAATTGAATTTATTCATGGCTGTAATTAAAAAATATATAATTATTAAAAATAATTGAAAAATATGTAATAAAAATTATATTTATTAATATCAGTTATTAAAAAATATAATAATTAAAGTAATGGTTAAAAATTAAATGTATAATAAAAACAATTAAATGTATTCATATCTGTAATTAAAAAATATAATTAAAAATAATGGTTAATAAATAATGAATTAAAATAAATAATAAAAAGACGATCAAATTGATTGATGTTTTTCTTCAAAGGAGTAATCATGTGTGTCTCTCTGTCACAGACACTGCTTCTCTCAGGTGAGATACCGTGCCGAGTGGTCGAGCGAGGAGTCGTTCTGTAATGTTCTGATCAGCCCGCGGATGATCGCCGATCACATGCCTGACGTGGTTCTGCGGGCGCTGCGCAGTCTGACCCACGAACACCCGCTTGCTCTCTGCTCGTCCTCCATCAGCAACAGCCACCTGAACGTCATCTGAGCTTCACTCACAAAAGAGATTTACTGGACTCCTCGTTTTACTTGCCTATTCATTTCTGCATTTATACTCCCATTAGTGTGTCTGCTTCTTAAAGGTGACATATCATGAAAATCTGACTTTTCCAGGTTTTAAGTGCTATAATCAGGTCCGTAATCATTACACCGTTATTGTGTTTTCGCAAGCGACAACGGTGTAGCAGCTCTAATGCCATGGAGAAAGTTTGAGCAAAACACGCTAACTGTTCTGTGTTTGGCTGCACAGACGAGCACAGAACACTGTTTAGAGTCCCAGCCTCAGAGGAGACAAGACAGCAGTGCATTTATTGATTTATTTACTGTATATTGCTGCTGCCACACAGATCTAAAATAAACATGCGATTTATTTCCCAGCTGTTTACCTTCACAGACATAACCCACTGTTTTTTGTAACTCGTGTGTTTTTAACGTAAACTTGTGTGTGAATGAGAACTTAGTTTAGTCCTCACATACTGTGACAGCCGCTTTCTATGCGTGTGCTTCGGATGCGTGCGCTCAGAAAACCGTATATCAGAGCAGCAGCTCATTTGCATTTAAAGAGACAGGCCCGAAAAACAGCGTGTTTCTGCTTCCACTCAAAATAGGCATTTTCAAAATGATATGGGGTATTTTGAGCTAAAATTTCACAGACACATTCTGGGGACACCTGAGTCTTATATTACATATTGTAAAAAGGGGCATAAAATGTCTCCTTTAAAGGCTTCATGAACTGCCATATATTCCCATGTGACATTATTTTTAATTCTGTGTTGTTCAGCTGTAAGAGTTCCTTTAATTTTTTGTGTTAGTTCAAGATGAGCGATTAAGACTCAAGCAAGAACAAGTCAGTATTATCAGTGTCCTGGTGGCGTGATGTTTTTGAGTATCGGGTGATCAGACTTTGATGCGTGGCACCAAACGCATGAAAACATTTCTTCTGATGAGACGAGGGCTTCATATCAGTGTCTGTTCGTTTACTCCACTGCAGCCTTTTCTGTTTTTTCAGGATGTCATGCATTTTTCCAAAATAAAAATGCTGAGGAAGAGTTGGTCTGTCCTATGTTGGAAAAAGTGAGACTGTAAAGTGCATGTTTATAAGTGGCTCTTGCGAATGATAAATCAGACAGGACCCCGAGTTATATCCAGGGACCAGAATATTGTAGGTAGTGCTGAGTTTCTAAGCATGACTTTGGCACACACACTCACTCGTACTCAAACGCACACACACACACACACACAGTGTCACACTCACTCGTACTCAAACACGCACACACACTGTCACACACACACACTCGCACTCACTGACACACACACTCAAACACGCACACACACTGTCACACACACACGCACTCAAACACGCA